CTGTGTCACTGATGTAAATCAAAAGAGCAAAGGTACTAAAACTGAGCCCTGAGGTAACACAATTGTGACATTAATTGGATAAATCGGGTGGAAAAAGTTAGGCATTGTTTCACTGTGATGAAAATGTCAATTGTATTTGTATTTATGACTAGGGTTAACTGCCGCTGTTCCTGAAGTTCAAATACTCACCAGACAGAAGGTAGCTAATCAGTAGCATCCTATTTTGTGATATCGCACGGGCTCGAACCCGTCAGCCCTGAAATCAGAGCTATGCCACAGCGTCAGCCTCCACCGTAATGGCAAATATTATACACAGCAAGAAAACAGAAATAATTCAGATTTGTTATCTCTAGAAATGAGTAATACAAGTTAAACTTGCTGATTCCATAGTATTCAGTCTGTGGCTAAGAACTAAAACATTTTTAGAAAGACGTAGAGGTTAACTGGATGTTTATTGGTTATTAAAGCTTCTGTGATTTTTCTTAACGTAACAAATCAAGATTTTAGTAGTCTAATTTATAATAAAGTTATACTAAATTAGTTTAATTGGCCACTTGAAGCCCAACATCCTAAATTGTCAATATCACTTTTTTTATTACTTTTATTTCAAAATAGTTTGTTTCGGAATTTCGCGCAAAGCTACTTAAGTTACGGTCAATCCCACTATTCGTTGGTAAAAGAGTAGCTCAAGAGTTGGCGGTAGGTGCCTTCTCTCTAGTCTTACGCTGCTAAACTAGGGACGGCTAGCGCAGATAGCCCTTGAGTAGCTTTGCGCGAAATTCCAAACAAACCAAGTCTGTTGACCGGTTACTTTCCCTCTGGTCAGTAGCTCGAAATTATGAACGGCGGCAGGTGGATTTTGCCATAAATAGAAATAGTTTTCCTTAAGCCTAAAAGATTAAAGAAATGTTATGATTTATATCATTCTAAGTTTAATCTTCAGAAATAGGTGGCGCAGTGTTGAGTTTTTCCTTAAGCCTAAACGATTAAAGAAATGTTATGATTTATATCATTCTAAGTTTAATCTTCAGGAATAGGTGGCGCAGTGTTGAGTTTTTCCTTAAGCCTAAACGATTAAAGAAATGTTATGATTTGTATCATTCTAAGTTTAATCTTCAGGAATAGGTGGCGCAGTGTTGAGTTTTTCCTTAAGCCTAAACGATTAAAGAAATGTTATGATTTGTATCATTCTAAGTTTAATCTTCAGGAATAGGTGGCGCAGTGTTG